AGAACAATGGTGGATATTATTTTAGGCCAGTTTTGTTTAACATTTAACTGGTAACGGGTAAACAAACAAGAGAAGTTGGGAAGTTATATTCAATAGCGGGCGAATAAAGGCTTTGGTCCCAAATCTCGGGACGTGATAAGAGTGACAACAATCGCGTCGCCTCGGTGTCTGGCTTTGAGCTAGGCAAAACGTCCGAAATAATTGCCGAACCGCAAATGTATCGTGGGCGTATTTGTCTAATAAACCGACATCTTTTTTGAAAATAGAATACAATATAATTATTTTATATTTATTTAAAAATTTTTTTTTTTCGTTTCCATTATGTTTTTTTATGTAGAAATTTATTGATTTATTCATAAAGTTCGTTTCAGCAAAGATTACGTATAGAAACTTCGTTTTAAAAAAGTTTTCCGTCAACTTGATTTCAATATATTCATCCTTCCTTCGGTCTCCCAAAAAATTTAGTTAGAAGATTAATTCCAGTCTTGTCGCATGACGTAAAAGGCGAGTCAGGGGCGAAGCTTTGAAATGCTCAGATTAAAGTGCTCAAAGGTAGTGAAAAGGCGCGCCACCTTCCCTTCGTACGTAAGAAAAACAATTTTCTTTTGAACACAAGTTTTGTCAACTAAAATTATATTACAGCAAGTTTTGCCTGCTGCCGAAACTTTACGTGTTGTTCCAATGTTTTACGGGAACAAAATGCAAGGAAGCCGGATTTTGAGGTGAAAATTGGGTAGTAACTGCTATAGGCATTGGTTGGAAGTTTTTTCTTTAACAAACGATACTGTTTGTGTTTTAGTCATGAGGTTTTTGGAGCTGTAATTTTGTTATTTCAACCTGTAACGTACGAAGCAATAAATAACAAAAACAGTCTTTATGAAAATCAGTATTAACAGCTCTCTTGCTTCAGCAAAAGTAGCATAAAGTTTCCTACTCAAATACATGCAGCGGTTAAACACTACAGTATTGTTAAACTCACCGTTGGACCACGAACTATGGCGTCCGAGACAAAAACAAAAGAGGTTTTATTGAAACGAAAACTCACATAAACAGTGTTCAGTGCTTACAGTTCTAATGTGAGGTACAGAGTGGAACTACATAGTACATATTTTATAGTATATAGCAACTTTCTAACAAAGACTAAGTAGAATTATTGAGTTTCATAAAAAAACTCTCTTGCATAATACCTACCGTACTTTGTCATCATTATCGGCCTAAAACCGACTTCTTATCAAAAGAAGAATATTTGAGAATAAATCACCACGCTTCTTCAAGGCTGGTTGACAATTTAAAACTTATCATTAATCTTAAGTTTCCTATAGATGTTTTAATTTGCCAGGATTCAAAACTGCTCCGTCCTTAGGCACGACAAATGCCCTTTAACCTACGTTCCACCACGACATTCTTATTGTAATATTACGTATCTATATGCGTATTTCAAAACATAATAAGCGTACCTACAATAATAAACAACGAAGGCATTATGAAGGGAAATATTATGACATCAGATGAAAATATAACCTGCCATTAACGCGTATTTCTCGACTGTACGCATATAGAAACGAACCGCTAATGACGTATTTAATGTGGGTCAATTAATCATTCTCGATGGGAAACATATAGAGCGGGGCCTTGTTTGGTAACTGTTTAAGTAAGCTGTTACTCCAAGGGTTGGCCTCAGGTGCGCTTCATCCACGGGATAATGTATTCGACGCCCCTGCAAGAGATTCCCAACATTTTTCCAGTCACCTAATATGGAAAATATCGATAACTTCACCTTCCAAATGACGGATGGAAAATTTATACCAATCCCTCGTTCAGGTTTTCTATACTTATCTCTATCATTTTCATATTCAAGTACGTTTTCCTATTTTACGTAACTTAGTGCTTTTATTATTATCGATGACTGCAAAGGACGTGAAAGATGTTTCACTGGTTCTACCTTGGGTAGAACTAATATTATCTAAGTATAAAGTTGATTTAAAAATATTGTCGTGACAAACCTATTCTACCATTTTTCATGGACCTTTTGTTCAAGAATGTTTTAACTTTCCACAGACATATCAATCATGTTTAAGTTCCAGTACCGTCTTCCGTTTAGCATATTAATCTCATTTTTATACTTCATGTCAAGGTGAAACTTCTAAAAGTTTTAACAATACTGTTGCCATTAGCCATATATCAACGTCGAGCGAGGAGTCTGATTCGGACGCGGGCAAATTGGGATTAATAACGGTCTTAGTACGAAAGAATTCCCCCCACATTTTCTTTTACTGATTAGGTGGCAAGACAAATCGGTTCGGATAGTGCGAAAACACGGAATGTTTTCAACTTGCCTTTTGTTTCTGAAGGGTAGTTGGACCAGGGTTAGCGCTCAAATGATTTATAGGTACCAGTAATTACGTAGTCCGGAAACAAATACGACCAATTAGTTGTCAGTCGTCCTGTTGAAGAAGACAAGTTATTGCGAAAATTAATTTTGGAACTGACAAAAGAAATATCGAGGTCACGGAGAAAAAATTTGATCTTTTTTTAAAAGAAAAATATTTGAATAATTCCACGCATATCTTATCAGTAATTAATCAGATAACATTGAAGCAGTTGCGGCTTGTACCTGGTTTACAAGGCGATGCTATCTTGGCCTATTCAATACTTTGGTTTATGTAGTCGGGTCGACAATACATTCATACTTTATTGGTCTGGCATACATATTGCGGTATCGGGCCTAAGATCGTGGCTTTAATTTGTTATTTATAGCCTACATACTATGTTAATTCTGATCTTCTCTAAAAACATTGATCTGTATACCTATTCTTCCAAGTAACAGTTCTTCAAATAATATATTATGCATTAGGCAAATATTACAGCCAGTGTTGCATATTTGCCATATCACTAAACTATCAAAACATGAATAGTCGACACGTTATGGAAGAAATTTATTAGAATTATCGCTGCTTTTTGGAGGCACGCGATCGGCCACCCCTTCCCTACCGTCCTTGACCCGTACTTATTCGGAGCAATGACGTCAGCGAGTTTGGCCAGTAATTTAATATAGGTACATTAAATATCTACTGGATCCCAAAATGCATGTTATGTAGATGCTTCATAACCGATCCTTTTCAAAGGAAGTTTAAAATATCCTAACAAAAGCTCTTTCAAAGTGAACAGAATAAGACGTAGTTTCCGCGTTTATTGTTTTAGCAGTTAATTGGTGCTGTTAGTGTAGATTATGAGGTAACTAACAACTCATCTAATGAGTTTGTTTTGTCGGTAAACAATGTGCTGTAACTTTGATTCCACGACTCCTTAAGGAACCCTTTTATTTGTATACTTGCTTTAACAGATTTGAACTTTCCATGGTTAATTAGCGGATTTTGTATGTGGATTTCTGGTTTTTAAACCATGAAGGTTTTTATTATTTGAAATTAAAAATTAATGATAACATTATGGTGCCTCTGTTTGTTGATGTTGTTCTTTAGTAGTGCACTTTACATGATTTGTAATGAGTAGATACACATTTAGGTTGAGAAAAGTGTTCACTTGAGATGATACATGCAAGAAGCCGGATCCTCATACAAATGTTTACGTATACGTCATTTTGGTGGAATGTGAACGGAGAGACAATACGAATATGCTACCCTTGATTGACAGTAAGATGACAATAATGGGCATAATCAGCCATTATTATACCGTACTACACATAATGCAATAACTAATTATGGTCACAGTTGATTGACAATTGAACAGTTCCAATTGTGAAATAACTTACCGAACAATATAAGTGTAATACTGGCTCGATAGTGAAAATCTCTGTCTTAAAGATATTACTACAAGAGCGCCAGTAGTAATCGTCCACATTAATTCTGAACGCTCTTTGCACGATAAAAAGTTGTAAGAACCATACGATAAAACAAGCTGAATACATACATATCTGACTGGATATAGATGTTATTTTGTAGGAAAAATTATTTATGTTTCGAGTGCCGAAAGACGTGAGCAGATTTTCAAGTACTGCTTTATAGATTTACCATCGATTCGAAGATACTCTTTGAGAGCAAAGAGGAATTCTAAACAAGATAAGGAAGCTGAAAATGTTAGGAATTGTGGAACTACAATTGGTTCTGCAAAGCAAGATGTTTGAAGACAAGAATCATGGTTTTATTGATAATTATCTATCTTAGTTGCTATCAGAAGATTAAAGAGTTTTTCACGGTAATCAACGAAGCAGATAGAGGAAACAGCTCAAAACAATTCTACAGAAACATTAAGAAAATGTAGTTGAAATATGTAGCTTTGTATTTTTTGTTATCATTTACGTAAAGGTTTCTTTTTCAGAACGGCGTTGAGATATGTAATTCGAAGTAAAATTGCTCAGTTCCGAACGGAGGGCTAAAAAAGGGTACAAAAATGATTTCCTTTTGTTAACGGCTACAAAGATTAAGTTCTTTTTATTAAAATCGTTTCCACTAGAATGGTTCAGCTTTATTTTCTGAATGAATGTAGGTTCAAGGACCTATTCCAACATTGAGATTCCACAATTGTATTATGTATGCCTACCCTTTTATTAGTCGCTCACTAATAAAAGGGTAGGCATACATAATACAATTGTGGAATCTCAATGTTGGAATAGGTCCAAAAATTGTTACAAGAACTTTAAACGTATAGAAATACCCGGTTTAAGTACAGTCATTCTCCGGGCCGAGCCGTAACGCTCTCCAATCGGATACGTAAGACTACAATTTGTTTTATTCATCCTTTTAATAAAATTAAGTTCCTTAATCTCTTTGTGTATAAATATGGAATGAGAATGAAATTAAAACTAAAGCGTGTGCATACTTAATTGCACAATAAAAAAAACCTTTGTTATGCTATGTTAAGAATTCTGAGGAAAACATAACTGATTATCAAACTTAAGCATTATTTACAAATAACCAGAAAATACAACAACACGCGGCTCGGCAGTAGAACACATTATGTAACAGCATTAACATTTCACTCACCGGACTTGCTAACTCTGTACCGCAGACCGCGTCCGCCCTTCGGATGGCAGCGGTTATAGGTCCCGAACTCCCCGTAATTGTTGTTAACCCGGCTGTAGTCCGCCAAATGTCTGTTCCCGTCTAGATGGTTTGGCAGGGACCGATTCCAGCCCATAACATCACCCACCACAGAGCCACACACTGACGATTCTGTTTGAGACTTGGTGTCGCCATTGCAGAGGTCGCCGCTGGAGCGAGCTCGCCGCCCTTTCAGTCCTTTGGCGGAGTGCTGGCTGATGTTCGAGCCCATAGCTTGGCGGGACCTCACGGGGGCCCCGCCGCCCGCATCTCGCCGGTCTTCCTTTTCAACGTTACTCTGTCCGCAGTTGTTCGCACCTGAGAAAAAAAATGCTCCCGTTAGTACCTAATGACACGATATTTACATAAGCAGTGTCGAAAATTGGTGTTTTTGAACAGATCCAAAGTTATATTTTCTGTTTTACTAAATTGTATTTCCAAAGTATTCTTTCTACAGAAATGTTTTAATTTATTTACTCAATACCAGTGATACTAGCACAGCTAAGAGAGATTCAAAGAAGTATAGATTTAGACCAATCTAACTGAACTGATATTTTCAGAAAAATGTTTTTGTTGTTGATTTATTTCAACTATTGAGAGGAAGCTTGGGTATTTTCGCATTGAGTAAAACCTTAATGCGAAAATACTCAAGTTTGTTGATTATTTATTACGTACACTTATTTTGGAAACCTTTTTGATGTTCAAAATATATTTAATACCTTAACAAGAACAGTTCAAATAATATGATCCATGTTATTAATTGCTTTTCAAACTTTATAACATCAAACAAAAACAAATGAAAATACTTTTAGCGTAAATATTATTCCTATCGCCTTCTACCTATACATACATGTGCCTGAAACATACCTGGAGCCGGTACAAACACATAGTTCAATTAAAATTCGTACCAAACTGAGAGAGAATTTCGGTAACACGTCGCGAGTTTTACTCCACAGTTGCTTGGAGTCGCGAAATTTCTCGTTAACTAATTATTCAAATTCATGGCAGCGACGCATTTATTTGGCGATATCTGCATCATTTATCAACCGAATAATTCGATAACAGAAAGTGACATTAAAGGGTATTATGAAGATATTGGAAGCGTTCTCAGTATTTGTAGATTTGTAAATAAGTAGGTAAGGTCATTATTTGTATATTTCATATTTTATATTGCTGCCAGGGTTGCGGAGCAGGCGCAATGGGGCATCGTGCCCTCGGCCTAGAGCAGGAGAAGGAATGGGAAGGTTTTTAGCCAGTAAGAGACTGAGACTAATGGGCCGGAGAAGCCATTTGGTGATTTTACCCTCATGAAAAAACCAAATACTTATATTGAATCAATTATGAGATAGTTTTCCGTCAGCCAATTTACCATTTTTTTTTACTTAAAGTCGACAAAATTAGTAATTGTATTCTATTTCTTTTGTAAAACGGAAGACAGTGTATGATATTGCAAATGTTATAATCTCTAGGAAACAATTACGGTTTGAATTTGCAAATTTAGATAAGCCGTGCACGCAATATGATTACATTTCCTCATTAACACCTAACTAGTTTAAGGCAAAAAGTAGTTTGTATTGGTTACAATAATTTAAAGAATAAAGTCCATCCTTATATGAGATTTTTTTTATTGTAGCAATGAAGAATACGAAGTGTATTACGTAATTCCGTGTTATAGTATGGTCAATGCTTACAGATACAATTCCATAATAAGAGTTCACATATTCATAATGGAAATTATGCATTATGCATGTATCGGCATAATGGGTGATGGGTGAGTTTACATTTCTGCGTTCTCACGCCGATTTTAATTACTGCGTTGCTACCACGGCATATGAGCACTATTTATTACGCGTATCGTATTTTTTCTTCATCAACAACAGCAGTAATTGTTAGGTATAAACAGATAGGCATATATTATTGCTACACATCATTTGAGCCGTTTTAGCATTAAAAACAATTATAAATTACGCTACGATTTTCAAAGGCCTTTGCAAAATCATTATATCATTGTCATTCAAAACGGTAGATTGAATAATTTTAATCTTAATAAAATCATAAGATTGTTGGAGAAACTCGTCGCGCGAAAGGGTTGAGTTTCGTCTCGAACTAAATTTCCAAAATTCATTTCCTCGCGGCGCGCGGCGGTCTGGTAATTTCCATAATTGCTGGAAATATTTCGCCAGTTCACCGAAAATATCGGGAATATTTAATGAGATGCGGTGGCCTGTGTCGTGCCTACTTCCGAAGATTTAATGAATCTTTCACCCGGTTGGCGCGAGTTCATTAAGAGCTGCCGCCACAAATGCCAGCGCTCATGTACACACTATGTGTTGCGTATAAAATATGAATAACGAAGCGGAACGATTCGTTCGAGCTTAGCCTTTGAACTAAATTCGCTGCTCTTGTATTTGTGGCTTTATACGCTTAGCTGGAACTACAAACATGGTCTATCATATCAAGTGCGTATTCAAATCGTGTCTATGGATTTCCAGAATATTTTGATAGTTGATTGTAGTGTTAATGATGATGAAATCGGAACAAATCGTTTACGCTCTGTTTAGTGTACACTGGGCACGCTTTGAATGTTTCGAAGTCTCTTAAAAGCTTACTCTCCAGTATACGGATTTAAGCGTCATTACCTCGTTAGTTCTGTCACTAAAAGGGTAAGCGGGAAGGTTTTAGAGTTCATAAGCAGCTTTCTGTCAGCAGCAACACGATGGTAGTTCCAGACACGGGACGCATTACACGCAGATTCGTCACATCGGATTTAACCGTGGAAGAAAACCGTAAGAGCAGTAATGTTATATTTTCTGCTGCCGCCTTTAATTGAGATGTTATTGTGTAGGTAAAGTCGGAATGTTTAAGAGAGAAATATTATTTACAATTTTGTAAGTACATATATATATGCATACTACAAGTTTTCTCCTTTTTCTTTGTGTTCCTTCTACCGTACTACCTGTCTAATGCGTAATTTTATCTCTATTTTGTTGTTTCTTTTTGTCTTTAATATCGTGTTAATTTGTATTGTCTGTGTACCCACTTATTTTTTTGTCAATTAATTTGTGTCTGTTACTGTTTGCACTGAATAAATGTCTATCTAGATTATTGACAAAATTACTTACTTATTTTTAGGTAATTTTTCTGACTACAGGAGTCATAAAAATAGCAGAATTCCAAGACGTTATTAAAATAGTATTCTCACAGGTCCATTCCCAGAATAGTATGCCAAAATTAGGTTAGCAACTGAAATATGACAATTCGGAAAATGACAAACTAGATATAATATCCGGTGGCGGACGTGGCTGAGCCTAGGCTGAACGGTAAGCCTAGATAAATGACTGGGTCCAGCCGATATTTGGTAGCTATTCATTCGATGCCAACTCATCACTTATTTACTCTCACCGTACTTCCATTACGAATTTCAACTATATAATAATATGTATTTCATATTGGTTGTCTATTTATCGTTCAATTTATGTAATGAGTATCATGTAGGTTAGTAATTTATTTTCTGGAAAATAAACTATATTATTAGAAAGAGGAAAGATTTCATTATTTGTTTGTATCACAATTGGCTGTGTTACTACAGGATTAGTTTGATTTTTCTTTATTTATGAACTGGATTAAAATATATGCGGCTTATTTACTGTTTTGGGATTAGTTAATGATATTGGTGCTTATTCCTATATACGAAACTATATACATTTGAAGTTCCTATTTTCCTATGTGTATAAACAATTAGTTTTTCGTTTTCTATTATAAGATACAAAATACCTTAATACTTGTGGTTAAGTAAGTAAAAGCATTAAAAGATCAACAATACCTACACATTTACTAGGCTAACACAACAACAAAAAATCAAGGAAAGGTGCACTGTGTCGTCTCACGTACTACATTAAACAATGTCAATATAGTGCAACAAAAACACACAATACTACTTCCGTTTCCAAGTCGATCTTCCTCTTGTTTGACGGTAAACAAATACGAGTAGAACAGACAGACACACGGGACGCTATTGTTGTACCGAACAAAAACTTCGACCAACCTGTAGATATCCAAACACTGAGTGGTACATCCAGTAGGTTAAATTTTTTTGTCAATTATTGTACAGAACTAGTATGTGAGCACCATGCTTCGGTTGGACCCGAGTAGACCTCCACAGCCTCAGAAAACCAGCATGAAACAACCACAACGTTTGGTTTCACCATGTGAGTGCGGTTACCGTAGGCCCAATCATTATCCTAATCTCTAAATCCCCTAAACCCGAATCCCCAAAAGGTCGGAATGCACTCTTTACTCCTCCGTTGCACCATTGCCATCAGGTTATCCCTTTGCTCGTTCGCCGTCCTATCGCAATACATACAAAAAAAACTTCAGGAAAAAAGGATTCAATCGCTATAGGAGTTCGTTTTTTAAATTCACATTTGCATTTTAATTTAAAAATCCGAACTCAATGTTCTTTTCTATAGAAATCTCATTCTAAATTTGAAACTGGTTGAAAAATTCTAGGAACATGCAACCCTATATTTTTCGTAACGAATAACCGCATTCGATAAAATTGAATCAGGAACGAAACATAACCTCAAGCTACGACAAAAGGTAATTGCTTCCATAATTACTTTTATTGGTTGGAATTGGCAACTGAAACAAGTCAAGCATTCAAAGAACCACTGTTTATCTTGATTAATAGTCCGGTTAAAATATTTTATTTAAAGATACTGAGGTCTCGGGTCCCTGAACAGGGGACGCCAACGATTGAGTAATGACGCGCGACAATGACCTTCTTGTCTCATGCAACAGTAACGTCCTTGCTATTGTTTAAACAATCGTTTGTTTCGACTTTAGATGTATTTGTAACGGTATTGTGACTGATTGACCCGATTCCATACAAAAACTGTTCCCTTTAGTTAGTGAGACTCTGATTATTGTATTTCTTGGTGGCAACAAAATGCTTGACATTTTTTCTTGTATAAAGATGAAAGATCAGTTTCAAATGAATGACACTACTTAATTAAAGAATAGAGTGCGAAAATAACTTCATCTATGTTATTGATCTTTTTGAAAGTAAAAGGTTTATTTACGAAACACAGACAATGGTAAAAGTGCAGCGAACTTCCCACAATAATCAAAGGTTAATGTGTAGAACGAAGTTGAAATAATTAAAAAGTTGAATAAAAAAAAGACGCGGCTAATTAAGACTTTTTGGAGCTTTTACTTTTTAAAGATACGTCGTGAGGCGGTTTGTTATGAGCGCGGGGTAGCAAGCGGTACCTACTTTTGGGGATTTATTTAATTGTCTCTGGAAGTAGGGCCTGGAT